TATATATATATATATATATATATATATATATATATATATATATATAAACATTTCTGTATATACATTTACACACACACACACACACACACACACACACACACATATATATATATATATATATATATATATATATATATATATATATATATACATATATATATATATATATGTGTGTGTGTGTGTGTGTGTGTGTGTGTGTGTATATGTATGTATATATATAAATATAAATATATAAAAATATATCAACATCCTGGTCAGTTTGCCTCGGGAGCCACAACATCGGCCGTATGAATGAAAACGGACAACTTCTTGAATTCTGCACTAGGAACGATCTTTGCATTACCAACTCTTTTTTCAAGACCAAAGAGAGACACAAAGTATCATGGAAACACCCTAGATCTGGACACTGGCATCAACTTGACTACATCATCACAAGAAGATCCAACCTGAACAATGTCCAGCACACCAGAAGTTACCACAGTGCAGACTTCGACACAGATCACCTACAAGTGAAGTTGAAACCAAAAAAACTCTTTACTTCCAAACAGAAGATAAACCCAAGAATAAATGTAATGAGCACAAAAAGATCCGGAAAAGTGTTTCAAATTTCAACAGCAGTTAGAGGATGCATTTAGTAGGAATTCAGACAATGAGGATTCAACAGCAAGTGAAAAATGGGTGAAACTGAAATAAGTGATACACTCAACAGCATCGGAAGTGTATGGGCTCAAACAGCGTAACAATCAAGACTGGTTTGAAGCAAACAGTGACATACTCCAACCTTTAATTGACGAAAAGAAAGCAGCATTATTGAAAAATAAAGAAAAGACAACTAGGACCTCACTTAGGGAACTGAAGGAAGCAAGAAGCAAAGTGCAGAAGGCAGCCAGACAATGTGCAAATGACTACTGGACAACATTAAGTGAAGGCATTCAAAATGCTAGCAATATGGGAAACATTAGAGGAATGTATGAGGGAATAAAGAAAGCTACTGGACCTGGGATTAAGAAAAGTGCACCCCTCAAGTCGACATCTGGCGAAGTTATTACTGACAAGAAACAACTGGAGAGGTGGGTGGAGCACTATCTTGAACTATATTCACGTGAAACAGTACTTTCAGAATCTGCACTTGACTCCATGGAGGCACTTCCAACCCTTGACCATCTGGATGCAGTTCCAACTCTTGCAGAAGTAAACCGTGCCATTGATGATCTTACGTCCGACAAGGCCCCAGGCAAAGATGGGATACCAGTCGAGGTGATCAAGAGTGGGAAAGAGGTGCTTGCACCTCAGATTCATGAGCTTGTGATGCAATGCTGGAGGGAAGGGGAGGTACCCCAGGATTTCAAAGATGCTAACATCATAATCCTGTACAAGAACAAGGGTGACCGCAGTGACTGCAATAACTACAGGGGAATATCTATTGTGCATTGTTGGGAAAGTGTTTGCAAGAATCATATTACGCAGACTTCAGATTCTAGGAGAGCAAGATTACCCCGAGTCACAATGCGGCTTTCGTGGAAATCGATCAACTACGGACATGATATTCTCCTTGAGACAACTACAAGAGAAGTGTAGAGAGCAGAACCAACCCCTCTACATTGCTTTTATTGACCTCACCAAGGCCTTTGACCTTGTTAGCCGAAAGGGACTTTTCCAGGCTCTTGAAAGGATTGGATGTCCGCCTACACTCTTGAGGATCGTTGAGTCCTTCCACTCGGGGATGAAAGGCACTGTTGTTTTTGATGGAGCATCCTCTGAGGACAAGGATGTGTTCTTGCCCCTGCCCTCTTTGGAATAGACTTCTCGTTGCTTCTCAAACATGCTTTTTTGGATGAAATAGGAGGAATTTTCATTCATTCCCGCACAGATGGGGGTCTCTACAATGCCCGGAGACTGAGAGCCAAGACAAAAATCAAAGAGACACTGATCAGGGAATTGCTATTTGCGGATGATGCAGTAGTTGCAGCACACTCGGAGAAAGAACTGCAAGACCTTATCGATGCTTTCTCCAATGCTTGTAGCCAGTTTGGGCTTACAGTGAGCAAGAAAAAGACACAGGTGCTCGTGCCTCGGAGAAACCTGTCATCACTATCGACAATGAAGAACTTGAAGTAGTTGATCATTTTACATACTTAGGATCCACTGTCACCAACAAGCTCTCCCTGGATCAAGAGATCAACATCAGAATTGGTAAGGCGTCAACAGCAATGAATAGATTTACCAAGAGAGTATGGAAGAACAAGAAACTCACCATCAAGACAAAGATCCAGGTCTACCAAGCGTGTGTGTTAAGCACTCTTCTCTACGGCAGCGAAACCTGGACAACATACTCACATCAGGAGAAACGACTTAACAGCTTCCACCTGAGATGTCTCAGAAAGATCTTGAACATCTTTTGGCAAGACAAGGTGACAAGCACAGAGGTACTGGAAAGATCAGGAGTTCCGACAATATTCTCAGACTCAGGTGGCTTGGTCACACAAGGAGGATGGAGGATGGCAGGATCCCAAAAGTCCTCCTGTATGGTGAATTAGCAGAAGGCAAAAGATCTCAGGGACGACCTCTCCTCAGATTTAACCCAATGGTGCCGGGGAAAATGAACAAAAAATGGGGAAAATATTGTGCCCACTTTCTATGTTTTTCGTGAAATGTCTGCCGATAGATGGCTCTGCTAGCGCCTGATTTAAAATGGCGGGAAAAACGTATTTTTCACTAGTGCTATGAAAATCGATGGTGTTATTTTTATCATAAACATTATAATTTTTATATATTTTTTTAACATTAGTAACAGCAAAATAAGATTACGTAAAATATTTTGTAAATCAAAGAAACGGGTAAACGGGCGAGACGGGCGGTGCTCGTAACTGGCTCATTGGGGAGTTAGTACAAGTGTTGCCATCTATGCGTAAAAACAATCAAACAAGTACTCACTGTGGGCATAGCACGTACGTACACGTCATACCCGGCACCAAGGGGTTAAAGATGTTTGCAAACGTGACATGGAAAGCACCAACATTGACATTAAGACATGGGAACAAGATGTTGAGAACAGGAGCAAATGGAAGGGAAAGATCAAGGAGGGCCTGGAAATCAAGGAGAGTAAGATAGAGAGGAAGGCAAGTGAACAACGTTTGAAAATGAAAGAGGAAAAGAGGAAAATAGTGGATCAACGTTTGCCTGCACACACTGCGAACGGCATTTCTCCGCACGCATTGGTTTTGTTAGCCATATGCGTCGTCGACATGGAAACTGATTTTATTTTTATTTTATGTTATTCTATTTTATTTCATTTCATCTTATTCACTTAATCCCCATGGCACGGAACCTATGACTATCGTCTGTCAAGACGGAAGGTGCCATTCGATATATATGTTTATATATATTTATATATACATACATATATATATATATATATATATATATATATATATATATATATATATATATATATATATACATATATATATATATATATATATATATATATATATATATATATATATATATATATATATACATATATATATATATATATATATATATATATATATATATATATATATATATATATATATATATATATATATATATATATATATATATATATATATATATATATATATACATACAGAATAAACATAACAAGTGGTTTATGTATTTTCTAGCACACTTTGCTATTCATCATTAACAAAGAAGATGCAATACCTTATGCTCTTACCTTAGGCAGAAAGGGAAAGAAAACAATGTAATGTAAAAAGTCACATCTTAGTACGCATAAGATCATAATTTACAGAAATTGATATCCAACTTTCCTTAGAGTTATATTTTTTTTATGGATACACATACTGTGTAATTAGTGATGAGGTAGGCAAGAATCAGATAAGCTTATATCTGTAGATAAGACAAATGAAACCAAACGAGGAAAAATAAAGATGAGGTGGATGATACAGAAGGTTAAAAATGGCACACATTTTTTTCTTGGTTGTCCTTGGGAATAACTTGCTGTCTGCCAACGTTTCACATGTGTCTTTTGTTGTCTTAACCCCCTTAACCCCTGGTTATCATTGAGTTTTATATATCTTAATACTGTATATTTATATACAGTAATACTAGATTTACCTCTTAACCAAAAGGTTCAATAACAGATGCTTGCTTCTAAACAAGTGTGTCGTGATCACATCAGTATCACAAGTACCACGGTACTCGTAAAAACGGTTAAAAATGTTATATATAGAAATAAAAAATACACCATAACATTTAGTCTATATAGACTTGCCATTAATCCAGTACGCAAAATATCACCTCAACCCAGTTCCACCGAGATGTTGGCCGGGCCGAGGCAAACACTCCTCTGACCGCCTGGGTGGTGTTGAACCCCCGGCAAATGAGAAAGCACCAATGACATCATCCTGCGGAAGCGTACACACCAAAAATGACGAGACTTCTTTGTATGGGCCTTGATATTACAGCTTAACCTGAGTTTTGCTCACACTGACCGGATCAATTAACTGCCATCATGAACCCTCGTGCGATCATAGCAAGAGGTATTCGCAGTATCCAGACTTTATGTTGCATACTCACCTCTTGCTGGAATTTGGAGATGTTATCCTCACAAACTATCTAATAATAGTAATATGTTTTTGTTTAGGAACTCTAGCTCGAAGCATTCCCAATCTTCGTCTAAATTGTGCTAATCCGTGAATTATAAGTATTATTTATTTCATTTATAAAGTTAAGCAAAGATTAAAAAGAACATACAAAAGTCATGATATGGATTCCCAAAATACGTCTGGCAGCGGTGGTTATGTTTCACTCTACAGTTCCCTATGGAATTAGATTTAAATCTCTGTCTTTTCCGCTATATTGTGGTTGGTATAAAATCTACTCACTATTTCCATGACTTTTAAACCGCCATCCAAGCTCTTGATACATTAATATACTAATTATTCTCAGTAACAACGTACGACAACCTGAACCGGCCGATGCACTGGTATAGTTGAAATGTTCGATTTGAGTTCATTTTACACCAGTAGGTCGATTAAAGTAATACAAGAGGTAGCACAGTCTAAACTTTGGCACAATTAACAAATAGTGAGAGAGCAAGTGAAATGCTGTATTTAGAAGGATTTTTGTGTTATTTATCATCATCATTATTGCTGTTTTGTTATTGTTTTATTTCACACACCAAATCCTTATGGTGCTGTTATATTTGTTCTTGTTAGTTATTGTTATGATCCGAGTTCCAAAAAAAGTGAAAATTCATAAGTTGCATGTTTGGTGCTGCGATGTGTTGATAGATTTATCATAATCGCCAACATCATCATCATTTTCACAAGTAAATGTAAGACTACTATCGATGTCCAAGTGTAGTAATCTTAGTCAGCAGAACCAGCAAATGAGTACAGTGCGAGCGGGTATGTTTTCCCGTCTTGTGCAACTTCCCGTTGCTAGGCCAGTCAGAATTTATGCATGGGTGTATATACATGTCATAGAGTGTAATGAAGCGTGGCATCGCAGGTAAAGCATGATCACGTGGGCGCTGCTGGCGGTGCTGGTGGTGACGGCGCTGCTGTACTCCCGATGGCGTCACAGCTACTGGTCCTCGAGGGGCGTGCCCACAGCACCCGGCTCCATCCCCTTCTTTGGTCACATGTTCAGTTTTCTCTCCAGGAGCAAGTATCGGTGGCTGGTTGTTGACGAGGTGAGTTCCTCTTCTGCCCCTGAAAGGCGGTCGTAAACAAGCTCTTGGTGACGTAGGCGGTCACCATAACTGAAAATAGTGTAGAAAACAGCAGTAAAATCACATAGTTTAAAACCTCTGAATTATATGGTTTGTAAGGGTTTGTCGTCAGGAATACACGTGTATGAATATAGTGTTGCTAAAGAAATAAGCCTGTCAAAAATTTTATGAAAATATAGGATCATTAGATATAAAGTAAAATAACAGGAACATGACCACTGCCACACTAATGGGTTCATGCGTCTGAAATTCTGAATATAATCTCTTGACATTATTTCATGTCTATTTCAGATGTACCATAATCATAGAGGCTCATTGTTCTGTGGCATGTATATGCTACTCCGGCCAGATCTTCTGCTTGGTGATCCTGACTTGCTAAAGGGTGTTCTGATTAAGGATTTCGACCATTTCACTGATCGGCGGTCTTTTAAGTCAACCAATCCCAAAGATAAAGTTGTTAACGAAATGTTAACCGCAACCACAGGTGAACACTGGAAGGGCATTCGGTCAGTTCTGTCTACTAGTTTCACGTCAGGGCGGATGAAGGGCATGTTCCCTTTAATAGAAGCCAAAGCCCAGGGTTTAATTGATTACCTCTACAGACAGCTGAAAAAGGACCCAGTAGTGCGCATGAAGCACACCTTTGGTATGTACACGATGGAGGTCATATCATCATGTGCCTTTGGCTTGGAGACAAATTCATTTGCAGGAGACGATAGCATCTTTGCCAAAAAAGCCATAGAACTGTTTGCAATTAAGCCTCTGAGGCATGTGCAATTATTGCTCCTTTTTACGTTTCCCAAGCTTGGAAGACTTCTAAATATTCAGTTAGCACATGAAAACATGGAATTTTTCACTGACGTTGTAATTGAGACAATGAAGCAGAGAAAGGCAGGTGCGAAGAGAGGAGACTTCTTAGACATAATGCTGGAGACCAGAGAAGATCAAGATCAAAGTACTGACAAAAAGAAACCCAAGTATCGTAAGTGCATTCGCTGCCTCTTTTGGGTGATATCTAGGGATCCTGTGCAATATTTGGATTAATCGTGTACATTATTGATTATCTCATTTATATTATGTCTATGTGACTGAAGACAAATCATAGTAATGCTGTGAATGTGCCAGTGCAGCTGAGTAAACTGATAAATTCACTCGTACTACACAGTATTATGTAACTATATACCTATCCTGAAATATCTATTACTATGCCTTTCATGTACTTAATTTTATATATATGTGCATGTAAACGTATATATATATATATATATATATATATATATATATATATATATATATATATATATATATATATATATATATACATATATACATATATATATATATATATATATATATATATATATATATATATATATATATATATATATATATATATATATATATATATATATATATATTATATATATATTATATATATATTATATATATATTATATATATATTATATATATATTATATATATTATATATATTATATATATATTATATATATATTATATATATATATATATATATATATATATATATATATATATATTATATATATAATATATATATATATATATTATATATATTATATATATATTATATATATTATATATATATTATATATATATATATATATATATATATATATATATATATATATATATATATATATATATATATATATATATATATATATATATATATATATATATATATATATATATATATATATATATATATATATATATATATATATATATATTATATATATATATATATATATATATATATATATATATATATATATATATATATATATATATATATATATATCCTGCAGCTTTGAGTGACGACACTATCATAGCATCTTCAGTCCTCTTCATAATTGCCGGGTACGACACCACAGCCAACACCCTCGGCATTGCATCCTTCCTCTTAGCTAAACACACCAAGGAGCAGGAACTTCTTCGCGAAGAGCTGAGGAATCTGATTGCAGAGCACGGGTCTCTCACTTACCAGGCGATTATGGAGGCCAAGTACCTGGATGGCTGTGTATCAGGTAAGAGAAAGTCTACAACTTGACGGAATGTGGACAAAGATTCATTTGCGTTGATAAATGAACACATGAATCCGTATGGAGAAGATCTCTTGTTTTTTTTTTCAGAGACCTTGAGAATTTACCCGCCTGTTCCTATAAATACGAGAAGTTGCACTATGGACTATAAGTAAGTTAACAATTTACTTGAAGTTGTTGCACTAAGCATTATAAGTTAACATACTATTGAATAACTATAGTGGCTACAGAATTATTTCTTTCGTGTTAGGCCTAAAATATGTATTTTATATGAACAAAAATCAGATTGTTATTTCTTCATACTATATTTCATAACTGTTCTTAACTTAAAATTTGACTTCCGACACTATTTAACAATATTAGCTGGTAGGGTATTTCATCGAACAGATTCTAATAGTTTGGTTGTTGCAAATCATACATTTAAAATAAGTCCGAGAGACATTAGTCGATGCCTTGCAATGGGCTAAAAATCCCAAGGACTCTAATGAGCGAAACTTTAAAACTCTCCGATGCCGTGACTGATTAGGACTCCGGCCATTCCTGGCATACAGGTTCAGATGCTGACATTTACAATCTGTAGGTCGAGGCTACACATCGATGCTTGAATAATCAATAATGGATTCAGTTTTAGGCAAGTTTAGGTGATGCATATTATGGGCTACCAAGAGCCTTGGTTTTTGTCCAGACCTGGCTGTTGGTCAGGAATAGCATGCAGAACCATAAGTATTCAGTGACAGAAAACCGAGAAGCAGTAATTAGTATTCATTAAATTCACCTGTACTTTCATTAGGATAATTCCAGCTAAAAGGCCATTCTCTGCAAGGAGTGAACATAATGTAATGACAGTTGTAATTGCTACAATGCATGCTTTAGGTGGCTGGGAGATCTGATAGGTGGGAAAGTGGAAACATGTCCTAACATGTTTGTACCTGTCACCGTTTCCCTGGCTTCCTTCTTGTTTTACTGTGTGATAGTACCAGTCTCTGGCTTTGCTCAGTGATTGGAATCGGTGAATTACCGGAGAGATGACGGTTCTGTATTTTTACTCGGAAACTGGGCACGTAGGCGACAGAGGGTCAAGAGTAACTGTTGTAAATATAATCAGATAATACTGGGCTGCAGATAGGTGCTGTAGATTTCTTGTAATTGAAGAAACAACGGCCCGTGTGTCCTACTTCCTACAGGGAAATCCAACCATTGCTCTTTAGCTTTTATCCTTAGTGCTTGGCTTCAGCTATGGGAGTGCACTTGACATTATGCATGAAGTTGGGCTGAGGAGGGCTAGCTCAAAGTTATAAGTTAACCAAAACGGTTCTTGGATGTACCTTATAAGATGAGTGTTAAATATCCCTCTTCACCAACAAGGACAGTCAGCCCAACAGGGAGTGGTTAAACGACGAGGAGTTTTAACCCGAAATATTGAACCCCAATTCTTGCAATTGGAAATGTCTTCACTGCCTTCTATTACAAAGGACATGATACTCCAACAGTCCACTATTACTGCTCAGCACTGCATTGACCAGGTCCTTCCACAAATTCTGGAACAGTCCACACCCAGCTATATCCAACGACGCCTTCTGGTGCACCATGGCAATGCTGCACTTCACAAGTCTCACCTTACAATGTAGTTCCTGAGCAGCAAGGGTGCAGCACAAGGATACATCCGCCCTACTTACCCAAACTCGCCCTCTGCAGTTTCATAGCTGTTCCCTGTGATTGAGGCTAGGATTGCTGGGAAGCAACTTCATCGCATCGAAGATCTGGGGTGAAAAGTAAATCTAAAATTTTCACTCTATACTGGCTTCTGCATACCACATTTACTTCATGAAGTGGTGAAAACCGATGAATCGATGCATAGAGGTGGAAAGGGAGAATTGTAAAGGATTCCTCCTGTTTAAAAACATGTATTCGTTGTCTTAACTTCCCGACCACCCCTGGTAAATGAATGGCCAGAACATTTGATCCAGTCACCAACAGAATGATAGATTCAACAACGGCAAGACCACTCTGACCATTTCTTGCAGGGTTGATTAGATGACACATTGCACTTGCATCTGCACCCAATTGATAAATGAAAATTATATAAACTAGTTAGATGTGGTAAAACTAAGTACATAATGAGGAATCCCGAGAAGGATTCAAGATCAGGGCAATAATAAATCTCATTTCTCTAATGGCAGCCTTCCAGGAACAGACCTTCTCATCCACAAAGGACAAACGATATTTATCCCTGTCTGGAGCCTCCACCACGATCAGAAGTACTGGCCAGAACCTGAGAAGTTCGACCCAACGCGCTTCTTCCCTGAGAATAAGGACAGGATTGTGAGTGGGACTTACCTTCCCTTTGGCCTCGGTCCCAGAAATTGCATAGGTAAGGAATCTTTAAAGCCACTGTGCGGAGCTTTATGTGAAATACTGTCAACCATATCTCATTAAGTCTTTTATTCAAAA